TATTTATTTATTTATTTGTTTGTTTGTTTGTTTGTTTGTTTATTTAAAAAATTGTGAATGTAAAATAAGGTTACGTCAAAATCAATGGCTGACGTCAAATAATCGACGACACATATCGTGCTATTCCTACGAGACGAGTCTCCTTGCCTGTGGATCTTAATTTCGGCGACTTTCTGTGTCGAGCATGAAAATATTTCAATCTATTGACGGTGTTATAAAGTTCTCTGCATGAGAAATTTTTTCAATAGTTGGTGCAATATTTGCTGAGTAATCAAACCAAATCTCGGTTCCATCTTGAAGCAAAGTTTGATATGATATTTTTGTCCTCTTCTTGTCGAAACATTTTTTTTTTCTGTTGAAGTGCTAATGACTTTAGCGGTAAATCTGCACATCATTAACTTAAAGACTTCCCCTAGGTGGTCCGCAAACAGATCTGCTTTCTGCTTATTCATTCTTGGTCAGTTTTCTTGTTTTTTATTAAGTGTTGATGTGATCGACCTTTTGAATCTTGTTGTGGCGTTCCTCAGAGAGTAATCAGTTACTTTTTTAAGATTTATTTGATAGTTTCGTTTTTTAACTTGTCGTTTTTTAATACGTTAAGAGCGGCTAGATGGAGATTTGCGGTGCTTATATTCCGATTTAAACTATGTGAATTCTGGCAGATCATTTGCTGTGATGCAGTTATCCAATCAGGAACCTCAGTACCAAACAATTAAGTAGTAACGAAACTCCAGATTGGATCACAATGTCCAGCTGATGATCTGTCACAAGTCACTCTGCTTAAATCGAAAACTATGCGGAAGCAGCACTACTCTAGGACAGGACTCATCTGAACATGCTCGAATGTTTGGAACGAGTGCGCGTTAATATGTCCCTTCTGAGCTTATGCATGTTTTGGCCCGAAATTTGTGTTCACAGCCTCTACAATTTTTCCATTTGATTGGACTAATTCAGATATAAATATTAGAGATTTGAAAGCATTTGAGTGTTCTATTAGATGAATCAGTGGTAATGAATGGTTCAATTATTAATATATGTAATTCACTGAATCCATTTCTATTTCACTAATTATTTCAGATAATTTACCTTTTATGTTCCTTTTTGACAATGAGGTAATCTTCCAATGATTCTCCCCCCAATGATTCTCCCCTTCGTATTTTCATTTGTATTGCTTTTGAACACTTTTTGATTGATTGTTTAGTACAGTTTTATAGAAGTATTTTTGCCTTATAGTATTAAGGTTGCCCCCAATAACCTTGTGACTACTTAGTTTGTTCTGATTCCCTCTCACGGCAGTTGCCCGTACATTAGTGTCGTACATCGTCTCGATGTTTGGTGCTACAATGTAACCTTCATTCTGGGAACAATCGGTTAAATATTGTAAAAATTTGATAAAATGTGTAATTATTGTGAAAAATGAAAGAGATTTCAGGTTTCAAAATCCATGATAAAAATTGACTTTCTACAGTTACCAAAAGTTCGTAACTGTTTACTACTAATAGTGCTTGTCAGAAAAGTCACGATAAAAAATACAGCAATGCACAAACAAAATCTGATAGTCTAATTACCATCAAAAATTAGATTGTGGATCTTCTGATCTTCCTAACGAAAGTAGTTTCTTATCAAGACATTTATTTCTAGAAGGAACGATTCTCATTTATCAAAATCACCTAGTAGCTAGTTATATACATTCACCTAGTCAAGGCAAAGGAATGAGATGTTCTGCAATGCATGTGACAATTCTAAAACTGACGAAACTGGGAAAAGCGTTTCACTTATTGATCAAAATTTCGCTCAAGAGTAAACAGTCGAAACCTTTTCGTGTTATGTTGAAGGAATTAATTAATTTCATATGGAACTTAAATAAGAAAGACTAAGAATTTTTTTTCTGAATGTACAACATCTCGTATCATTTCAATTATATACTACTTTCATTTTGGTTATGGTGCTCGCTTTTGACGGCGCAACCCCGGGTTCGATTCCCGGACGGGATAAAAAATTATAACTGTGCGCTTACATTCCAAATGTTGAAGTATCTATTGCTGTGTGGGGACGAGAAAGCCACCCTAAGGTTATGACACATGATGTTGGGATGCCTTTGTGCTGACCACATGAACCCTTATTCCACGGCCGAGTGGCTGGGCTACCGCTGGTCAGGCCTAGGTCCCGCATTGGGCTGTCGTATCAAGGACAGCACAGAACCACTTTAATTTTCTTCTCTAATGTATCCCTCTCCACCTACTGATAATTTCTTATCAAACAGGGAGTAAAATATATATGTCTACTCATGGCATGCATTTGGAGCGAAAATTAAATATTTTCAAGGAAATATGAGTACAAATTTGATAATTATTACTCCTTTCCATACAGGTAAATCATGACACAACAATGAGACGTATTTCACAGGAATTCGCGACGCGGAATTCCATAGCTGCATTCCCTACAATGTTGATATTCCCTGATAGCTAGCAATTCTTATTTCGTATATTTTAAATAGGTTTTAAATAATTTCTAAATGATTAATACGTAAACCTATAACAGAAGGTCGAATATCGCAAGCGAACAGCTAAATATTCAATAAAATACAAATTTTCTAATGATGTGTTTCTGATTTATCCAATGATTGCCTCTAATTAGATACAAAATAGATACAAAAAATAAACAACAACTTATACAAAAATGTTGACTGAGATATGTTAATTCGAAGAGAAAAGAAAAAGGAATAGTTAAGGAAAAGTATTAGTTAAATTTCAAATTATTAAATACGTTCATTTTTATAATTCATTTAAAAAAAAGCTTCCATTTTAAAAATGTTCCAAAAACCGTCAATTAGAAAAATCAAAAACATTTAAATCAAAAATTTTAAATTTAAATGTACAAAAGAATTTCAATTCAAATAGAAAAGAAAATAATTTTTCACTATTTTATAGTTTTATGAAGAAGAGCCTAAATAATCGTATACTTTGCGAATTAAGTTCCGCGATTCAAAACTTCATTTTATGAGAAGTATTAATTATTTCTTCATTTTCCACACAAACATTATTCAAAAGCGAATTGGTGTCACACAGTAATACCAATTTCAGGGACATTATGGTGTTGCGCACTTAACCAACGCATTTTCATATTACTCAGGCAAGGACGTTTTGGAAGACAAGTAACATTTATTTTCAAGATCCGAATGATAGCCTCCAAGCTCATTTCACCTATATTAACACTAGAAATACCAAATTTAAATCCACTCTTTACATCTACTACGTCCTAGTTGTCGATACTACCTTCTTTCACAGGAAACACACGTTTTTAAACACCGCCTGACAATGAGAGATTATTCTGAGAACTTCGCGCCTATCATCTATCTATCAAATAGCTGAAAAGTGAATCTCAGATTATCGTGCATTAAATAAATGTGTTTCCAAAATTATTTTCAATAGTAAGTTAT